AACATGTGATGAAACTAACTCTGCCCCTTTCTTGCAACTGCTCTAAGTTGTGACTGCACAGACTTGTGATTGATTTACCATGTTTTGACCTAGGCTCTGGCCAGCCTAGCTTGTGAGCAGTCTAACCAATAACCTCTCTAAATCGCATCGAAATTCTTATCCTAATACTACTATGATGGCCCATGTATGAGCAATGGCCGAGTTGAGCCTGGCTTGCTGCTGCCCACTTCACCTCGCAATTTGTAATGGCCGAGCCAACCCTGTTTGCTCTGAGCCAAGGTTTATGCATGTCGTGCCGACCCGTCTCTTTGAGCGGATGGGCTTGCCACGAGCCCTGCGCCTTTCGATTTACACAGGAATGATCTCTCGACCGGTCTCCCTACCCCAGGTGTAGTTCACCAAGGCCGCTGACCAGCAGCGCAGCTATGAGGTGGTGGCCTTTGAAAGCATTAGCTAAAGTCTGATAAATGGTGTAATAGAGAGCTGCCTGCTACCCAAGTTAGTGCACCTTGCTGCTCTGCTCGTTTAGCTCACTTCATTTGACTAATTGTACATTATCTCCATACCCGCCCCCTCTGTATACCTCTTCAACCTAATCACCTTCTCCATTGCCTGTCTTCTCTGATTCCTTTCACTGGTTCGCTTGTTCTTGTGCTTCCGTTTCAATCTTTGAGCCTCCCCTACTCAGACCTTGGCTGCATTCTCCAGGCTGCAGTGACAGAGGCAGTAGAAAGGAAATACCAGTCATTGAAGATATGGCTGAGGAGAGAGTGATGGGTACACTGATTGATGTGGTGAGGAGCTGGCTGCACACAAGGAGGAGGTGGATGAGTTTCGGCACAAGTTGGCCGATATGGGAGAGAGTAATGAGGCGATTGCTGTGGGAAAGGAGAGGGAGAAAGAGTTGGCAGCAGTGAGGAGGGAGTTGGAAGGACACAAAGAGGAGGTGCATGAGCTGTGGCGAATGTTGCTTGCTGTGGAGGTGAGGAACGAAGCGACTGCTGCTGCGATGGAGAAAGGAGAAAGAGAGTGGGCAGCAGTGAAAAGTGAGTTGGCAGCAGTGAAGGGGGAATTGGCAGCACTAAAGGGGGAATTGGCTGCAGTGAAGGGGCAATCGGCGGAAGTAAAGGGGGAATTGACAGCAGTGAAGGGGGAGTTGGTAGCGGTAAAGGGGGAGCTGACAATGGTGAAGGGGGAGTTGGCAGTGGTCAAGGGGGGGTTGGTGGAACGCAAGGTCACTATGGCAGAGCAATGGGTTGAGAGTAGTAGGGCATCAGCTGTAGAAGGGCTGAGAGGGAAGAGTTTAAAGAGGAGGAGAGTAGTGACAGTGGAGAAGGACCTGGAGTTGAATATTGAGCAGGAAATCAGGCAGAGCACGGGCGATCAGAAGAAAGCATTGGAGGTAAGTGTGTCGTGAATAAGTGCTTAGTGAGCATGCATGCTCGACATTTCTTCTCTATGTGGTTATCCCTGTCATAGTAATGACGCGTCGCAGCTTATGATCAAGCCATGCATTGTTTGGCACTCCCTTGTCACAATGGTCCTTCCTTTTCTTGTCATTCATTTCCCCATCATCCGCCACCTCCAGCGAATCAAGGCAGAATCACGAAGAACCGATCTGAACCTGGCGAATCTAAGCGGCCTCTCAGACGCCATCCTCGGTCATGTTTCCACAAAGACCCACCTGAAGAGCGTTCTCTTGTACAAGAGTTCAGGCTTTAGTGCAGAGGGCATCAAGCACCTGTACAGGCTGCCACAGCTGAAGATTCTAAACTTTAACGATACGGACGTCTCGGACAGTGCCTTGGAAGGCATTGGGACCTTGACCAGTCTCAAGGAGCTCTGTCTTTATCGTACCAAGCTGACTAATGCTGGTCTGCTGCAATTGACAACTCTGTCCTCTCTCAAAGACCTGGGGCTTACTGGATGCATGGGGGTGACAGATGCTGGCATGGTGCACGTGGGGAGACTGACAGGTCTAACAAAGCTTGATCTGGGTGGCACGGCAGTCACAGATGATGGGCTGCAGGAGTTGAATGGCCTGACCAAGCTGAAACTTTTCCAACTGCCAAATGGCACAGTACACTTGCGCGCATGCATAAGTAGGAAGGGTAGGGAGTGACGGAGGGGACGGAGACACATGAGGGCAAAGTTGACTGTGACTGCTTGGAGGAGAGGTGTGGAGATAATGGGTGTGACGAATGGGGGGAGTACATGCAGGAGTGTGCAGGGAGTGGGAGTAGTTGGTGTGTATATCATCGGCTGTTGTAGGGGTTATCATGAGGATGCAGCGGCTTGCTGGAGAGCATTGTCTATGCTGGGCTGGGTGGCATGCTGCAGCATCAACCTGTGCCTAAACCTCTACTAACATCTAGCAGGGCCCCTCTGGCAGGATGGAACAACTACGGTATGTAAGGGCAGAAATTCCTGGATAATTCTGGGTGCAATATGTATGTGATAGCTATTGTTTATTCGACATGTTGGCTCTTGAACAATAGAGGAATTCTTTATTCTTTTACAGGTTGTCTCATATAGGGTGCTATTGTGTGCTGCCTGGGAGGCAGGGCCTGATGTGATGCCTATGGCGGAGGGCAGAAGTGAAGCAGAAGGAAGCAGGACCACCGTATGTCTGCATGATTCATGGGGCAGAGATCATGGGTGCTGCTTCATTGCCCACCCATGTTATCCATTGCCTTTCTTGCTTCTCAGATTTTTGCTTGTCCATCGACTGGCATGCTTGTACAGTGCTCCCATGCTCCCATCCCTGTGAATGGACGCATCAGTGAGCTGGTGACAGCGTGGCAGCAGTTGGAATGATTGCGAACGGCTTCGCAGTTGACAGCAGGCAGGGGGGCGTGCCAACGTGCAGTGAAGGTGAGAGAAGCCGAGTATGGAATCTTAATCTTTTTCTCACCCTAGCTCTCTTCTCCATCCATTGCCGCTTCTCAAACCTCTCTCCCACATCAGCTACACCACAAAAGTCTGCTCTCCCTCAAATTCTCCCTCCATGTTCCAATCGACCTGAGCTGCTATCACACTTGTCACTTCGGTCCCCTCCATGTCCCAAGTTTTTGATGTGGAGTGGTTACATACAAATATTATGACCCCCTTGTCTCTCTCCCCTTCCCCCCTTCCTCTCCCTTATTCGTTCAATGTATGCGGTGGAAAACATTGCTGTGCATTCACTTACTTGCTATTCACCAGTTTGAACGGTGATACACGAACTTAGCGCTCCTGTGAGGGGATGGTGGTGATGTGCACAACAGTGTGTTCAGTCACCATTCACGATATCGCTCGTTGGGGTCATTCTGGGTAACCGGACTTCCTCGTTCAAGTCGAGTGGACGAAAATACTGGGCGGATATCAAGGCAGTAACCATCTGCTCTTCGGATTTCGTTTGTAGAGCGAAAATTGATGTTTTTGAAACGCGAACTTTCTTTGACGAGACGAGTGGTAACCACAACTGCCACGATGGAGTTGTGAAACGCAATGCGGTCTCCGGACAGGATGGATTTGGAACCCTACCTGCTCAATTCCATGCCTTCTCCCCACTTCTTCCATAATTATTCCCGTATTCCAAGTCGTAGCTAAAGCTGAACATACAGTCGCTAGGCCCTGTGCGCCAACAGATAGATGTGCGCCAGCAAGCACGGGCGTCGCTGTCCACGTTTGATAGCACCAGTGTCGCCACGCACGTGTAGTGAGAAATTAAAGCATCATGTCAGATGGTCGAGAGCGTTTCGACCAAAGTCAAAATACTACTACACGGCCCCTTCGAAATGTCTCCCGCAATCGCGCCTTTGATGTGAACGTCGATGCCGTCATGCGCTACCAGAAGGTGCCGTAGTTACTGGCCGTGCACCGCACGAGATCGAGATGCAGGCGATCGACGGGTGAGGCGAGTTGAAGGCCGAGGGGAGCGACGCGAGGTCGACGGAGTCCCAGTATTACGTGTCGCAGCACCATTGAAGCGCCGGTTGCTCAAGATCGACTCTATGCGTTGATGCGTTTGCCCTAGTGGCGATTCGGAGCATGCCATCGCGAGTGGTCGAGTTGAGTGAAACTAAGGGTGAAGGTCCGAGCGGGGAACTTCTAGCTAACCCTAAGCCTCTCTGCGATAGCGTGCTGATGGGATCTCAATGCGATTCGCAATTGGATCTCTACGTGCTCGAGTCCACGTGTCCACGCGCGGTGCTTTCACGTGGCAGAGTCCACAGCAAAGGATGGGGCGAATTGCATGCTGTATGCGCTGCTGTTGCTATTCCAGTGTGAATCACACAGCACGGAACGCGGCGATTGGGAAAGGATGCAGTTGGAAAAGCGGGACGGCGAATGGTGAGGCTGATGCTCCCTTGTGCGCCCTCCCGTCTGCCCCCGCAATCTCCCAGCCTGAAGTACAAGCTTATAAACCCCCCCTTGTTCTTCAGGCTGGGCGGCGCGGCGCCCTTCAGCTGATGGCGTCCCATCCTTTGCGCAGACGGCGGCTCTTGCGCGGAGTGCAGTAGGGCGATGGTGGTGGCAATGCGGGGGCGAGAGGAAGTGAGTGGGATGAGATGGCTCTATCGCCCTGCCGCACCGCAATGGTGAGTAATGTGAGATCAAACATGAGGCAGCTGCATGAAGCTTTGACGAGTGCACCATAATTCTCTCAATTCTTCTCTCTACTTTCATCCGTTGTTGGCTGCTGGACATGCCTCCTCCCTTTGCGCCTGCACCTATCCCACGCCCTATTTCTGGCGCTAGTTTGTTGTCGAGGCAGCAACTGAGTTCTCCTCTCCCATGCGCAATGCCATCAGCTGTCGTGCAACACTCCCCCCCTCCCCTCCCGCCTCTTCTCCCCCCTCCCTCCCCCCCCCCCCCCGCTCTTTCAAGGACTCCGCGCTCGGCATGAATCCAGTGGTGGCTCTCACTGCCGCATTTGCCGTGAGTGAAGGCCCTGCGGCGTGTCGTGCCACTGGTGGAATGCACGCGGCGTCTCAGCTGGCGGCAGCAGGGCGACCATGGTGCCCACCCGCCCTCGCATGACCGCGCTGCCAGGTATGACATTTCTGAAATGAACCTAGCGTTGCTTTCCCCTCCACCGTGCCACTGGCGGTTCTGGGTGGAATTCTCGAGGCGTCAGCAGGGCAAGGATGGTGGCAACGTGGAGGTGAGAGAAGCCGAGTTGGAGAGACACCACCTTCGTCAAAGGAATTTTTTTTTTTTTTTTTTCTATATTCTTCCCTTTCTTCCCTCGCATCCCAAGTCTAGCATAGGTGCAATGAATCTGAACCCTTCTTTCCCCGTCATCGTGCCATCAGCTGTCTTCCACCTCCACCCTCCTCGCTCTGCAGATCCCCGCCCCTTTCGCCCTCTTCCCCCCACTCGTTTTCCCTTCCCACACCAACAGTCCTCTTTCCCATGTGCAACTGCGGTTCCCGGGGTGGATGTCGCCGCTGCATTGGGCGAACATTCCTTGTCTCATGGAAGCCAGGTGGAATTCATGTGGCCGCCCCCTCAGCTGACAGCTTCTCAGTGGACGGCAACATGGCGACAGAGGTGAGATCACCATCTGAGCATTATGTAGTGACACCGTCTTCCTGCACCACCAAAATAGTGTAGATTTATTCTGGTGTAGTCTTATCTCTCTTTTTTCCAACCATTTGTCGTTGCAACCATGCCTCCCTCCTTGCGCCTTTCGTTTTGCCGGAAACCAGTATTGCACTTCGGGTGAAGCTTTGGTGACCAGAGCAGAACAATCAGCTATCGTCCACTCTCCCGTCCTTGCTCTGCAGTACGCCCCTCTCTCTTCAACCTATCTCCCACTTGCCAGATTGTTCTGTACATTAAACCGTACTGTTTTGCACGAGTTGAGGCCGGCTTATTCCGGCTCGCCTGGCCTCGACGAGCCTGGCCAGCTGCCGGCTCGGCTGGCTGCCGTTCGGTTCGGGGGCTTGCTTGTGCCTGCCCTGCAGTCCTCAAAAGCAATGTTCATGGCGTTTGTGGTTTGTGTATGCTGAGACTGATGGTGCTTATTCCGAGTTGTGATGCAGCTAGACCATGAGAGTTGCATCACATGGTGGTTCTGTTCTTGATGACATGGCATGATTGCCGTATTATCACACAACCTTCCATGGAATTCCTTCAATTGATGCTGGAGATGCCCTCAACCCTATGTACCCCCACTTTTGTGCTTCTGCCGCTAGTTCAAAGACAAGGCAAAATGCCCTCTATGGCCCTCTACCACTCTCCCCTCTCTTCGCTCAGCAGTACGCCCCTCCTTTTTTTGCTCTCTCCAACACCAACAGCGCCCTGTCCTAGCCTGGACCAGTCAAGAGGAGCCCAGCCAGCACATCGCTACGCCAGACTGGCGACAGCATGGCAGAGCAAAGGGTTGCAGCTGTAGCTGGTGAGGTGAAGCTGGTCAGCGGCGAGTGGGTGGAGGCGTGCATAGGGGTACGAGGGAGACGTGGGTAGGAGGGAAAAGCAAAGGCCGTGGAGGATGGGACCTTCTGACTGTGTGGCGTTAGCCGAACCTTGCTCGTTGCATGCTGGTCACGAGTGGTTTTCTTTTTGGCACTATGTGTGTGCTGAATGAAAAGGCGTGAGCACATGGCATCATCACATGCCATGACTGAAGGTGTTTTTGAGCATGGCTCTGTTGCCCCATCTATTCGAAGGGGGTGACGTAGGTGGTCGATAATGCGTATGAATGTATTGTTGTTAAACTGTCGGAATCTGATTGGCTTTTATCCTTCAATTGGCCGTCGCCGCCTCCACATGCTCGCCTGCAATGCACTGTCTCCATCCATCTCCATCACCATCTTCAGACCCATTGGCTTGGACTGCTTCAGTTACACCCCCCCCCCCCCCCCCCCCCCCCCCTCTCCCTCCCACCTTCTCCACCCCTTCCCTGCCACCGCAAATTTTCTGCCCCATGCAAACTGTGTTCCTACATCCGTCCTCTCCTCTCCTTTCCTAACAACATTTCCTCGTTGCCCTAACCATTTTCCTTTGCTGCGTAAGATTTCACCCCTCTTCTCCTCCCCACTCCCTTTTCAGAAGTCGACCACCCTCCTGGGTGGCATGGCATATGAGATAATGAGCGTGCATACACATACCCCCCCAGCTTCCCCCCACCCGCCCTCTCCTGTTTCCGCACATTCCTTTCACCCCCCATTCTTTCCCCCCCAGTCCCCTCAATTGCCCTACCCTTCGCCCTTCTCAACGTCCAGCTCATGCATACACATACACGACGTTCTCCCCGTCCTCATCCCACCATTGCCTTCTCTTCCAAGTCAAGTGGCAGTGCTGCCTCCCACATCGTACACCTCAACTGCATGTTGTCATCCACTTCCTCCCTCCATTCTCCCTTTCCCCTCCTATGCTTCTCGTATATCTCTTCCCCACCACATCCCCCCATCTCCCCCCCTCTTCCCCCTTGCACTCTCTCCTCCTTCCCCTTCTCTCCTCCCCATCTCCCACCTCCCCTTCCTTTCCCACCTCCCCTCCTCCCATTCTTTGGCAGCAGAGTGGTGCCACACAGACAGCAGCAGAAGCCGAGTCAGCAGAAACCAGCAGTAGGAACATTCACTGAGAGGGTGGCACGTTGTCGTGGCATCAGGGGATGCAGTTGTGATACCCCCTGCATGGTGCAGTCAAGATATCCCCACAATATGAACCTGCGATCCGGAAGCAAATGAATGGTTGCGTTTTAGTAAGCTCTGGCGATAGACAACAATCCCGGAGGAAACAAGGGCGACGTGTTTGAACTACTGGGAGCACGCTGAGAAATGGGTGCGATGTGGCTGAACATTAGTTCTCATGTCATTACATCCCGCGTGCCAGGAAATGGGCTGTATGCATCTCCCTAGGTATGGTAGTCCTTGTGCAACCAAACATCGCGTGCCAATCAATCAATAACCTTGAGCATACGATCGTGTTTGTATCTCTGATTTGTCACATCAGAATTCAATGTATACAATGGCGCATGAGGGTCATAAATATGGACGGCACTTCACATGAGAGGATGCAACTTGCTGAAAAGCGGGGGAAAAGGCTGAAAGCATTTATATTCACACGCCCAAGCTGAAAGTAGAGTGCATCCAACCCCCAAGTTTTGTACTGTAAGAAACTGGTTATTATGGTAACTGTAGGGAACATACAGTAATCATATGAGACAATTCCTGTCTGCCTGCAACTTCACCATGCTGAACACTGGAAAACATCCACAGCTAAGATTATTAAATGTTTGCACAACTTCATTGTCTAGCTTGAGAATCAACTAACCGCCCACCCTTACTCCAGGAAGCAGGGCCTTCACACGAGCCTCCAAACCATCAATGCTTGATCGAAACCTTTTCAGACAAGGCAGGCGTTGCAAGCACTGTGCCCCTGTATGAGTCACCGCACCTCCCCACAGCCTTAGATCTTCCAAACTAGTCAGCTGCACGATGTGCTCCATGTCAACATTGGAGCACCCGGGTCCAACAGAGAGGAGCTTCAGCCGGGTCAAGGAGGTCAAGTGCTGCAGCCCATCATTCTTCACTCCAGTAGCACTCGCCCATAACTGCTCAAGGCTTGCCAATCCCCCCACACGTTCCATGCCAGCAGATGTGACACCCTTGCACCCAGAAATCGAGAGGACCTTGAGTGAGGAAAGACCTGTGAGGTGCAGTAGGCCAGCATCGGTCACATTGGTGCTGCTAACAACCAACCACTCAAGTCTCCTCACTCCCCCAATGCCTTCCAAGGCACCATCTGAAACGGGCGTTTCTTTGAGATCTAACGATGTCAGCTCCTGTGGCAGCCTGTAGAGGTGCTTGATGCCCTCTGCACTGAAGCCTGAGGACTTGTTCAACCATATCTTTTTCAAGTGGGCCATTGTGGACACAACGTGAAGGGCCAGGTCTGACAGGTTGGAGAGATCTTTCAAGTCCAAGATTGTACGTCGTTTGGTCTCCCCACTGAATGCCGACGACACAGCCTGGAGTCCACAGCAAAAAGACATATGAGATTACAGCAGATCACTTCATGCAAACATGCGCCGAAGGAAATGCAACATTGCGGCATTTATGCTCCAGACGCAAAGCAATGAGGTACAAAACCAAAACCAAAACAAAATAAAACACACACAAACTCTACATTCAACAGCTACAACTTACCTCCATTGCTTGTGGGCTTCCCCAATCACCTCGCACAAGGGAAAGCAAGGCTTCCTCAAATGCAACTTCAAGCTTGGGCACACGATTTGTCTGCTCAGCCACCTCCCGTTTCACTGCTGCCACCTCCCCTTTGCCTTCTGCAAATTCCGTTTTGATTTCTGCTAATTCTCCCTTAACTGCTGCCAGCTCCTCTGCTTGCCCTGTCAACGAGTTTATTTGTGCAGCCAATTCCTCCTTGGCTGCCACCAACTCCCCGTTGACTGCCGCCAATTTCTCTGCAAGCCCTCGCATCGAGTTCTTCTGTTCTCCTAACTCCCCTTTGGCTGTTGTGATCTCCTCAGCCTGCCCTGTAACGAAGCTCCTGTATTCAGCCAACTCTCCTTTGGCTGCTGCCAACTCCCTCCTTGTCTCCTCCAGCTGCACGCCAAGCGCCCTCATTTTCATCTCCATCGCCTCTTTCTCCATGTGTGCTGTGGCCATACTTGCCATGACAGCCTCAACAGCCTCACTCACACTCTGCACCCCACCTTTCCACTCCTCCCTCACCTTTGATAACTCCGCTTTCATTTTCTGCTCTCCCTTTGTATTCGCCTCCCTCAGTTCTCTCATATCCGACTCTCTTTTTCTCTCAACCATATCCCATTTCTCCACCATACTAGCCTTGTGCTCAGCCAACTCCTCCCTCACTGCAATCAACTCCCCTTTCACTAGTGCTACTTCTTCCCCCCTCATCTCCACCACAGCAGCAGCCGCCGTACTCTTCTCCCCTACAGCACGCATCAACTCATTCACCTCCTTATCCAACACCCGATTCCTCTCCTCCAGCATCACCACTCGCTCCTTCTGTAGTGCCACCTCGTCCCTAACTGCCACCAGCTCCCCCTTCACTGTAGCCAACTCTCCTTTCACCAAACCAAACAGCCCTTTCACTGCTTCAGCAATCTCGCTTGTCTCCCCATCTACAGCCATATTGTGTTGCTTCAGCTCAGCCGGAATTCGCTTACTGCAGAATGCTCAAAGTGGATGGCATGGCACTGTGGCATGTCAAAATCAGGTGAAGGTGAACGCATGGATGGAGGAAAGTAAGTTCTAAAACAGGAAGCTAAGGAACAAAAAACGCGATCTGATCCAAGTGTACACGAGCAAGCAGCAAGTAAATATTCGCGTCCTTCCTTCTACTCGAAGTGGTCGAGACTGAGGCCTTGGCTGTCTCACTCACCCAGGCTTCGCCCTTCTTAGATTACCCATCTGAGGCAAGGTGAGTGGCGTTTGCTGAGAATATGAACACTTGCTTCCTACTCGGCAAAGAAAGGCGAGAAAAATCTAACTTGCAAGTAAGCTCTCCTAGCAATTTGATCTCAAGCACGAATTGTCATACGTCGATTCCAAAATGACTACAATGGCTTGTCAGGCCCTCAAGGGGAGGCGAGGCGAGCCGACCAAAACTAGGCTCGTCCTGGGTCAAGCTCGTGCGAGCTCATACCTTTGAATGGTATGACAGGACAGCCCTCACCTCTGAGGCCTGCTGCGCAGAATGAAATGACACATGAAACTATGCGGTTCAGAAACTAGGGCGCGGCTCAGTAACGCGGCGGACAGACGTCCTAAACGATTTGAAAGAACGGATTGTGAATATCACTTGACAAAAAGAAATGGCAATGAGAATGGTGAAGCGAGGGCAGAGGCCAACAACAGGGACTCGTTGAACCAGTTAAAGGAGAACATACGATAGCATGAGGACAGAGGGCCGAAATAGTAGCGGATGACCTTGGAAACTGCTATGTGGGTGCTGAACCTAAAATGTATGAATGCGCGCAACACACATCAGTGCGGTAACCGGCGCTGCACAGATGTCACGTGGAGGAGATCTCAGCTAGTCAGGGGGTTTCTTAAATGGATGCGGAACAGATGTGTGAATTCCTAGGAGTTCAGGGATGATTATAACAAGGGAGCTGAGAACGAGTGTCCAGTGACAAGTTGCTTTAATTTCTTGACAATCCAGGAGTATGTGAATGGCGTACAGATTTTCCTGACCATGCTCAGAGAAAACTGCTGATCATGCAACTCAAAGGCATCACTTTATTTCTTTGCTATGCTTAGTATCTTCACTTTGCCTCACACGTTACATGTCAGTAGATAACCGATGTCGTTCGATTTGCCCTAATAAGAGAACGGACGCGTGGCGCCTCCATGCACAACTGAATGATCTCTATACTTTGCCTGTCCTTTCAGCGCGCTAAGCTCTGGGAGCGTTGAATGGAGAACGTGGGGAGGGCATAGTTACAACAGAAACAGAGGACGAGAGAATCAGAGGACAGGGTGCGTCAACGGAATCAAGAGCATCGGCGAAAGGAGGAAGATGAGTGGAAACCCGGAGTGCGAGCAGAAATGAGTGGAATGACGGAAGCAGCCCTTTTCTAGGGTTTCTTAGATTGGAATGTCGTAAGGCTATTACGTTTAGGCTTCGTAGACACCTGTATCCGAGATCCGAAATGTGCATTGAGCATTCCAAACGATCTGAAGTGCGCAGTAGTTGTGATATTCGCTCAGATGACATGCTTACGGTAAGAAGTAAGGCAGCGGCCAACTTGAAATGACGCAGGCTCCCGCTGAGCGACTCTCTGAGAGGTATAGAGAGGAGCAGCAAAATAGCGAGACGAGGGAGGGATACTGCGGGATGACTGGGCTAACTGAGACGCGGGTTTGGAGAATATAAGGCGCTATTGATTAGTAGTAACGCGGCTCTTAGGGCATCTGATAAGATGGTGATGAGTATGCGAAGGGCTTGTGCTCGACTTGTGTCAGGAAAATCCACCTCCATCGATTTTGCAAGTTCTACTGCGATTCAAAGGTGTTGAACACGATTCAGGGAGTAACCGTTGCATCAAAAAATCCGTGGGCAAAATAAAATTTCCCGTAAGCCGAACAATACAGCAGCTCTGTAACAGGCGATAAAATTTCGCGAATTGGGCCAGGACTGGTGAAACTTCACGGCAAAGTTTGTTAGCAGATTCGGCGATTTGCGAATCGCTTTTCGTCGAATTTCGCATCGAGGTTCCTTGTCGCATTTCCCCCTTACAATCATCCCCGATTATCACTTCGTAGTCGGACTATTACCAGCGGCGCTACTACTAGGTCCTATTCGCGAACAACTAGATATGCGCCAGCAAGCAGAGTTGTCGCCGTCCAGATTCGGTAGCTGTCACTATCGCCACGCTCGTGAAAAAAACGCACGTCAGTACACGACCATCGACGTTCGATTCGACCGTCGCCATCGCGCAGCACGCATTGCTGCTCGAATTGATCCGCGCCGCTGCAGAGTCACTTCGAGAGCCGCGGAGACGCGATAGACTACGAAAGCCTAATTAGAGGTAAGCCCCCGTATCCCCGGACCTCCGCATTTTGAGCCTTGCAAGCTGCGCCTCACAGCCTACGAATTACGGTGCTCGATGTTGTATCAGAGCCCGATCCGCAAGTTTTAGTTACATACTGAGTCGCTTACGACCAGCATAACCCTTTGACGCATTCTTAGCCCCACGTAGCATTATTGCATGGTTCATATGCTCACACTGTTACTCATCCGGGCAATGACCATCCAAGCTTGTGACCAACCGCATTGTTAGTCTCTGCCATTCCCCTGCTGCTATTTTTCCGTTAAGGTTCGTTCACCATGCTGTCACTGATGTAAGGTCTGATTGACCGAGGCTCTCATTGGCCTAGGCTCTGATTGACCTAGGCTCTGATTGACCTAGGCTCTGATTGACCTAGGCTCTGATTGACCTAGGCTCTGATTGACCTAGGCTCTGATTGACCTAGGCTCTGATTGACCTAGGCTCTGATTGACCTAGGCTCTGATTGACCTAGGCTCTGATTGACCTAGGCTCTGATTGACCTAGGCTCTGATTGACCTAGGCTCTGATTGACCTAGGCTCTGATTGACCTAGGCTCTGATTGACCTAGGCTCTGATTGACCTAGGCTCTGATTGACCTAGGCTCTGATTGACCCAGGCTCTGATTGACCTAGGCTCTAATTGACCCAGGCTCTGATTGACGTAGACTTTGATTAATGCTCTCATTAATCCCCCTCTCCTTTCCCATGCTGTGTTTCCTCGCCCTGGTTCAGACACTCACGCTGGCACTTACGCAGGCTCTACCGACCTACCTAGCCTGTGAACCCACCTCAGCTTGTGACCAACCTATGCGGTGAGTGACCCAGCGTGTGATTGATTTTGCCGTGACTGTGAACTAGTCTGATCTAGCCTATGACTGACCTAGGCATGTGCACAGGCCGAGTAGATTCGACTCCAGTCAAGTCGGCCCCAACTTGAGTCAACTCATGAGTCGAGGTTGATTCGACCTGGTAGTGTGGCTTCTGGCAGTCACATTCGAAGGTGCACATGTAGGTCGATTTTGCTTCTGGTCCAAACGCCAGAGAGAGCATGAGGCTTCTGTCGTCAAGTATTCGTAGGAGATGAAACAGGTTGCTTAGCGGGCTGAGATAGCAGAAACATCCCACACTGATGTCTTGTTCTTCTGCATGGAAACACAGGCTAACTGACCTCTAGTTGTGACCTTCTCCCCCTCCCCTCCCTCCCCTTCCCCCTAATGAACTGACTTGTTCCTCCTTGTTTCGCCGTGACTGCCTTGTCTTCTGTGAGTCTTAACCTGTGAGTGTGTTAGCTAGTGAGTGTGTTAATAGCCTGTGAGTTTCCTAGCCCCTTGCGAATGAGCCTGTGAGTGTCCAAACTTGTATCCGACCTATCTTGTTATTGACCTTGCCTCTGTTTGACCTAGATTATTGACTGACCTACCTTGTGACTGTTGTGGCGTCTGACTGACCTATTCTGCAAGTGGCCTAGCTTGTGGTTATTCTTGCCTGTAACTATCACAGATTCGGACTTAACATAGGCTCTCTGACTGACTGACCTAGCTTGTAGAGGAGGGGCTCACCTCTGATTGTCTTAGTCGGTGAGTGACCTAGTCAGTGAGTGACCTAGTCAGTGAGTGACCTAGTCAGTGAGTGACCTAGTCAGTGAGTGACCTAGTCAGTGAGTGACCTAGTCAGTGAGTGACCTAGTCAGTGAGTGACCTAGTCAGTGAGTGACCTAGTCAGTGAGTGACCTAGTCAGTGAGTGACCTAGTCAGTGAGTGACCTAGTCAGTGAGTGACCTAGTCAGTGAGTGACCTAGTCAGTGAGTGACCTAGTCAGTGAGTGTCCTGGCCAGTGAGTGATCTGGCCAGTGAGTGATCTGGCCAGTGAGTGATCTGGCCAGTGAGTGACCTGGCCAGTGAGTGATCTGGCCAGTGAGTGATCTGGCCAGTGAGTGATCTGGCCAAGGTTGTCTCACCCAGCTCGCTCGTGTTGTACCTAGCCTGTATTGGACTGAGCTGGTGAACCGCGAGCGAGCCACCCTGTCTCGACCTGCCCCAGGTGAGACTCACGGGGTGAAGGGATCTGGCATGGCATGGCGCACACTCCTTGCGAACCTCAGCCAACGGAGGGCAGCTATGAACGACTCGTGTTAAGTGCATCGAACCTAACTTGGAACCAGAGAGTATGAGTTAGAGAGGTGTTAAATGCATCGAACCTGACTTGGAAACTGTGTCGTAGAAAACCACCAGCACAACCTGTGGTGCACTGCTTTCCGATCAGCCCCGTCGTCTCAAGCTGATCAGCTTGCTGTGAGCCGAGTTGAATGTCAAGCCACGTTGTGAGTCGACTACAGGAGTCTTCTATCTCGGCTCAAAGAGCACCTCAAACGGCCATGCTACCGCTCAGCCCGTTGCTCACTCATACTATGGCATTCACTCCCAGGTTTGTTCTCCCTTGCCCTGTACTCTCAGCGCAGATCCCCTCGTGTGCTCGCGCCGGCTTCCCGCACTCACCTACCTGACTGAGGTAAGGAGCAGAATGAGAACTCTCTCTTACATTGTACGTAGGTCACGTCACTCTTGATGCTCTGCTCGTC